TTTGAGTCAGTCCAGCAACACACCCAGCCTTCTACAACATATTCACTTCAAAGGCTTCTATTTGATCTGTAATATTTGAAACATCCTCCATTAACAATCCCTTAGAGCAGCAGTCCCCAAACTTTTCGGCACCAGAGACTGGTTTCCTGGAAGACAATTTTTCCAGGGGTGAGGGGATGGTTTCAGAGTGACTCAAACACACTACATTTATTGTGCACTTTATTTCTATCACATTGTAATAGATAATGAAATATAATAATTATACAACTCACCATAATGTAGAATCAGTGGGAGCCCTGATCTTGTTTTTCTGCAACTAAATGGTCCCATCTGTGGGTGATGGGAGACAGTGACAGATCATCAGGCATTAGATTCTCATAAGGAGCATGCAACCTAGATTCCTTGAACACAAAGTTCACAGGAGGGTTTGCACTATGGGAATCTAATGCCACCAGTGATCAGACAGGAGGCGGAGCTCAGGTGATACTATGAGCCATGGGGAGCGACTGTCAATACAGATGAAGCTTTGCTCATTTGCCCACCACTTACCTCCTGCTGTGCAACCCAATTTCTAACAGGCCCCCAACCAGTCTGTGGCCTGGGGGTTGGGAACCCCTGCCTTAGAGGCCCACGTCCTCCTTGAACTTACATTTTCTACCCAAATGGCCTCTCACAATACTCAGTCCTGTAAGTCAACTACATGTTATAAAAGGAAGCAATTTTTTTGTTTTTGTTTTGTTTTTGAGACAGACTTTCACTCTAGTTGCCCAGGCTGGAGTACAGTGGTGCAATCTTGGCTCACGGCAACCTCCGCCTCCTGGGTTCAAGTGATTCTCCTGCCTCAGCCTCTCGAGTAGCTGGGATTACAGGCATGTGCCACCATGCCCAGCAAATTTTTTGTATTTTTAATAGTTTCTCCATGTTGGTCAGGCTGGTCTCAAACTCCCGACCTCAAGTGATTCGCTCACCTCGGCCTCCCAAAGGTGCTGGGATTACAGGCATGAGCCACCGCGCCCAACCAAGGAAGCAGTTTTGTGGGAGGGTCTCACACTATTGCCCAGGCTGGAGTGCAGTGCCATGATCATGGCTCACTGCACCCTCAATCTTCTGGGCTCAAGTGACCCTCACATCTCAGTCTCCTGAGTAGCTGTGATAACAGGCACGCACCACAACACCCTACTAGTTTTTATAATTTCTGTAGAGATGGGGGTCTTGCCATGTTGCCCAGGCTGGTCTCAAACACCTGGGCTCAAGTGATCTGCTGCTTCAGCCTTCCAAAGTGCTGTGATGACAGACATGAGCCACCGTACCTGGCTAAAGCAGTTATTTATTTATTTATTTATTTTTTTGAGACGGAGTTTCACTCTTGTTACCCAGGCTGGAGTGCAATGGCACGATCTTGGCTCACTGCAACCTCCGCCTCCTGGGTTCAGGCAATTGTCCTGCCTCAACCTCCTGAGTAGCTGGGATTACAGGCACACACCACCATGCCCAGCTAATTTTTTGTATTTTTAGTAGGGATGGGGTTTCACCATGTTGACCAAGATGGTCTTGATCTCTTGACCTCGTGATCCATCCACCTCAGCCTCCCAAAGTGCTGGGATTACAGGCGTGAGCCACCACACCCAGCCTGGCTAAAGCAGTTTTTATGTACAAGGATGACTTCGATTTATAAAAAAATTTCTTTTCTTTTGAGATGGAGTTTGCTCTTGTTGCCCAGGCTGGAGTGCAATGGTACAATCTTGGCTCACTGCAACCTCTACCTTCCAGGTTCAGGGGATTCTCCTGCCTCAGCCTAGGCAAGTAGCTGGGATTACAGACATGTGCCACCATTCCTGGCTAATTTTGTTTGTTTGTTTGTTTGTTTTTTGAGACGGAGTTTCGCTCTTGTTACCCAGGCTGGAGTGCAATGGCGCTATCTCGGCTCACCGCAACCTCCGCCTCCTGGGTTCAAGCAATTCTCCTGCCTCAGCCCCCTGAGTAGCTGGGATTACAGGCACGCGCCACCATGCCCAGCTAATTTTTTGTATTTTTAGTAGAGACGGGGTTTCACCATGTTGACCAGGATGGTCTTGATCTCTCGACCTCATGATCCACCCGCCTCGGCCTCCCAAAGTGCTGGGATTCCAGGCTTGAGCCACCGCGCCCGGCTTTAATTTTGTATTTTTAACAGAGTCGGGGTTTCTCCATGTTGGGCAGCCTGGTCTCGAACTCTTGACCTCAAGTGATGCACCCACCTTGGCCTCCCAAAGTGCTGGGATTACAGGTGTCAGGCACTGCGCATGGCCTATAAACAATTTCACAGTTAACACAGTCGTATCATAAAATTATGGTCAATAAATATTTATGGCTTTTTGCTTTGTTTTTAACATCCCTTTCCTACATATAAGAGTCCTAACTTTTTTCCAGTCTATGATCGCACTCAACTCTTCTCCTTGATCTGTTTAGTTGTTTCTCCAAATCTCTATACAATTCTTTTTTTTTTTTTTTTTTGAGACGGAGTTTTGCTCTTGTTACCCAGGCTGTAGTGCAATGGCGCGATCTCGGCTCACCATAAACTCCGCCTCCTGGGTTCAGGTAATTCTCCTGCGTCAGCCTCCTGACAAGCTGGATTACAGGCACACGCCACCATGCCCAGCTAATTTTTTTTTGTATTTTTAGTAGAGACGGGGTTTCACCAAGTTGACCAGGATGGTCTCAATCTCTTGACCTCGTGATCCACCCACCTCGGCCTCCCAAAGTGCCGGGATTACAGGCTTGAGCCACCGCGCCCAGCCTCTATGCAATTCTTTTTTAAAAAATTCTTCTTTCAGGCTGAGCACAGTGGCTCATGCCTGCAATTCCAGCATTCTGCTAGGCCTAGGTGGGAGGACCACTTGAGGCCAGGAGTTTAAGGGCAGCCTTAGGAACACAGTGAGAGATCCTGTCTCTACAAAAAGTTAAAAAATAGAACAAAAAATTTAAAAAACCCTTTTCTTTTAAACTTTATCAGAAGTCTCCAGAGTACAGAACCTTTCTGGTTTGAGCCTACAATACTTGGTGAGTTGCATTTAACCACCTTCTCTCTCTCAGGTTACCAGGCTCTTCCTGGCTTCCCCACCAAATCTAATGCCCATCAGGTCTCTTCAAAATCACTTTATAACCTGTAGGTCAGGCATGGTGGCCCATCCCTATAATCCCAGGACTTTGAGAAGCCAAGGTGGGTGGATCACTTGAGGTCAGGAGTTAAAGACCAATCGGGCCTACATGATGAAATCCTGTCTTTACTAAAAACACAAAAATTAGTTGGGCATGGTGGTGCACACCTGTAATCCCCCCCTACTCAGGAGGCTGAGGCACAAGATTTGCTTGAACCTGGAAGGCAGAGACTGCAGTGACCCAAGATTGTGGCACTCCAGCCTGGATGACAGAATGAAACTGTCTTAAAAAAAAAAAAAAAATCACTATATAGCATACAGATTTCAGGACTCCCTCTTTACAGAGCTCCTCTCATGGTCCTGACTTGCTCCTGATTCCTGAAAAATATTTCTTAACGGGAAATAATTCTTCTTTTTTTAAAGACAGGGTCTTGCTGTGTCATCCGGGCTACAGTGAAGTGGTGGGATCTTAGCTTACTGCAGTCTCAATCTCTTGTGCTCAAGCAGTCCTCTTGTCTCAGCCTCCCAAGTAGCTAGGACTACAGGCACCTGCGACCACGCCCAGCTAATTAAAAAAAAAAAAATTGTAGAGACAGGATCTTGCCATGTTGCCCAGGCTGGTCTCAAACTGCTGACCTCAAGTGATCCTCCCACCTCAACCTCCCCAGATGCTGGGATTACAGGTGGGAGTAATCCTTCTTAACTTTCAAAAACCTGTTTTAAGTATTAGCTACAGAGAAATCGCATATTTAAAGAAAACATTAACACACAATTCGTAAGCACACAGCGTAAGTGCAGACAGTTCAAGAACTTGCAAAATGTCTTGAACTAAACTATCTTCTTTCACACTCTAAATGCATGATATGGTTACCTTTCTTGAAGGCTACATCAGCTCTCCCCTTTAATTGTCAACGCCCCTTTTCGGTGAACCAGAACTCCGCTCACAGGTCCCCAAGCAATCAGTATATTAATTGCTACATACTCACAAGTACTGCACGGCGTCCCTTATGAGACTTCTGGAATCTTCGTCTTTGTCCACCCTTCCCTCAACCCCAGCATCACTTCTATAGATTCAGGCAGCTCCCCTACAAGGCCCTCTCCCAATGTGGATTTCCTCCCTGGGATCAGGTAGCAAATACTTGGCTGACAGAAAGGTTCAACGGGGAGGGAACCTAGAACGGGCTGGGAACCCAGGACGGGCTGGGCCTGCCTCCCCTGAATCCCTGAGTGTGTGCTCGGCGCTGGGGCCTCCAGACCAGGGCCTAACCAGAGGCTCCCGAAGGCGAGTCCCACGCCCTTTACACCCGGAGAAACGCACCCTTCCCCAAAGCCACAGCCCTGCCGGGGGTTCTACCTCCCGTTTCAGGCCAAATAGGCCCACTCAGACCTCCCGCGGGCCTCCCCTGCTGCCCCCGCCTGCGCACCTTCTCCAGGCGTCAGCATCCTGCCTCGAATAACGACTTCCCGCCCCCGCCCGGCCTCCGAAGGCCCCAGCGCCACCTGGAAGCAGGAGGGCAGATGCCTGGGAGGGCGGCTGACACCACGTGCTAGAGCAAAAGCCCACCCAGCCTGCCCCGGAGCGACACTGGCCTGCCCGGGTTGCTGCACCCGGACCCGTCTTCTCACCTGGGCACGAGTCCTCCCCCAACTTGCCCGGCTCGGCGCCGCCTCAGGAGAAGACGGCACTCAACCCACGCCCCACGGGCCACATGATCCAGGGCCAATTTCCGGTCTTCGAGGCCTCAGGGGCTGAGCCCATTGGCCACAAGACCTGTCGCTCACAAGAGCCAGCTAGCTCATTGGCCAGTCTGAAAGAGAGCTTCGTCCTTTCCAGCAGATTCATGGAGCAGGGCAAGTTCTTGTGGAATGTGCGCTGGAAGTTATGTGAGCCTAAGCCTTAAAATGTGTTAGGGTTTGAAGATCCTGACTCCCTTTCTGGGGGCAACTCCTGTAAACAGATTTAGTCTAGCACTCGAGTGCTGAAATTGATTTGCCCCCTTCCTGTCACTTAGAGGGTTAGCAATACAGGTGGTGAAGAAGAAAGGTAAACTACACGTAATCTGAATTTCCTAGGCAGTTTTGACTACACGTAATCTGAATTTTCCTAGGCAGTCTTGACTCCAAATACCCTGGGCACTTGGTCCCCATAAGTATATTCCAACCATGTATTCTGGTTTGTTTTTGTTGCTGTTCAGCAGATCGCCAGAGCCACAGCAAGATTAAGGGCAGAAAATTACCTTACCGGTGGAGCCTAATACCTATAGGAAGGATTTCCTTTAAAGTGGACCTATGTAGTATGCCTGGGTTCCTGGGGCAGATAAATAGAAATCCTTCCAGAAGTACACCAGGACCCCAAAAACTCCCCATGTAAGAAGTATTAATAGCCGGGTGCGGTGGCTCAAGCCTGTAATCCCAGCACTTTGGGAGGCCGAGGTGGGTGGATCACGAGGTCAAGAGATAGAGACCATCCTGGTCAACTTGGTGAAACCCCGTCTCTACTAAAAATACAAAAAAAAATTAGTTGGGCATGGTGGCGCGTGCCTGTAATCCCAGCTAGTCAGGAGGCTGAGGCAGGAGAATTGCCTGAACCCAGGAGGCGGAGGTTGCGGTGAGCCGAGATCAGCGCCATTGCACTCCAGCCTGGGTAACAAGAGTGAAACTCCATCTCAAAAAAAAAAAAAAAAAGTATTAATAAATATGAGCTCACAGAACACATCAGGCTGAATAACAGGAAGACAGTCAATCCAACAACAACAACAAAATGGGCAAAAGTCATGGCGGCTCACACCTGTAATCCCAGCACTTTAGGAGGCTAAGGCAGGTGGATAACCTGAGGTCAGGAGTTCGAGACCAGCCTGGCCAACCTGGTGAAACCCTGTCTCTACTAAAAATACCAAAATTAGCTGGGCATGTTGGTGGGTGCCTGTAACCCCAACTACTCGGGAGGCTGAGGCAGGAGAATCACCCAAACCTGGGAGGCAGAGGTTGCAGTGAGCCAAGATCATGCCACTGCACTCCAGCCTGGGCAACAAGTACAAAATTCCGTCTCAAAAAAACAAAAAACAAAAAACAAAAAGGGCAAAAGATGTGAGCCGACCTGTCTCAGTCCATTAGTCCCTTTAGTGTTACTATAAAGGAATACCTGAGACTGGGTAATTTATAAAGAAAAGAAGTTTACTGAGCTCATGGTTCTGCGGGCTGGAAGGTTCAAGACTGGACATCTCGGCTAGGCGTGGTGGCTCATGTCTGTAATACCAGCACTTTGGGAGGACGAAGTGGGTGGATCATGAGGTCAAGAGATGGAGACCATCCTGGCCAACATGATGAAACCCATCATTACTAAAAATACAAAAATTAGCTGGGTGTGGTGGCATGCACCTGTAGTCCCAGCTACTCGGGAGGCTGAGGCAGAAGACTCACTTGAACCTGGGAAGCAGCGGTTGCAGTGAGCTGAGATCACGCCACTGCACTCCAGCCTGGGCAACAGAGTGAGACTCCGTCTCAAAAAAAAAAAAAAAAAGACAATATCTGTGCTCAGGCTGCTTCCACACATGGCAGAAGGCAAAGAGACCTGGCCTGTGCAGAGATCGCATGGAGAGAGAAGCAGCAAGAAAGAGAGAGGAGGGAGGAGCCAGGTTCTTTTTAACTACCAGCCCTTGTTGGAACTAGTAAGCTTTTTAGTAGAGACAGGGTTTGACCATGTTGCCCAGGCTGGTCTTGAACTCAGTGGTTTATGGGTGTGAGCCACCACCCCTGACTGGAGCCATAACATTTAATGGAATTTGCCTTGCTCATTTTTGAGCTTGAGACCCATTATCACTTTCTATTTTCTGATCTCTCCCTTCTGAATGGGAATTATACTATGTTGTCCCACTGCTGTAATTTAGAAGTACATAATTTGTCCAGTTGGGTCACAACTGAAGAGAAATTGTGACTCAGTCCCACTCATAACTGATTTAGATAATACAGTTGTCCTTCAGTATCTGTGGAGTATTGATTTTTAGGACCTCCCTCCATGGATAGCAAGATTCACAGGTGCTCAAGTCCCATATATAAAACGATGTATTTTATATTTATACATCGTCCTGTATACTTTAAATCCTGTCTAGATAACTTATAATACCAAATACAGTGTAAATGCCTACATAGTTGTTACACTGTATTGTTTAGGGAATAATTATAGGAAAAAAGTCTGTATGTGTTCAATACTGACGCAGACATCCTTTTTGTTTTTTCAAAATATTTTTGATGTGTGGTTGCTTTAATCCATGGATGCAGAACCTCTAGATAGGGAGGGCCTGTTGTATTTAGATGAGACCTCAGACTTGCAGTTGATAGTGAAATGGTATAAGACTTTGGGGGCTGTTAGGGTGGGGCAAATGTGTTACATGTGAGAAGAACACAAATTTGGAGGAGGGCGAAATGTTATGGAGTGAATTGTGTTCCTCTCACAAAACCATATGTTGAAACCCTAATCCCCTGTATTTGGAGATGGAGTATGCAGGGAGATAATTAAGGTAAATGAGGTAAGGAGGAGCCTTGATCTAATAAGATTTGTGTTCTTAGAGAAGAGGAAGAGATACGAGATCTCTATCTTTAACCCTTTCTCTTCATGGAAGCACAGACACAAGGCCATGTGAGGACACAGCAAATGGCGGCCATCTATAAGCTAGGAAGACAGCACTCATCAGAAATCAAATTTGCCAGCACCTTGATCATAGAATCGTAGCCTCCAGAACTGTGAGAAAACAAATGTATGCTGCAGAGGCCACCCAGTCAGTGGTAATTTGTTATGGCAGGCCTGGCTGACTAATTAGAATAACAGATGTCAGCAAGGATGTGGTGGAACAGGAACCCTCACACATTGCCAGTGGGAATGTACAATGATGTAGCCTCTTTTGGAAACATTTGGCAGTTTGTCAAACTGTTAAACAAAAAATTACTGTAGGAACCAAAATTTCACTTCTTGGAAACTACCTAAGAAAAATGAAAACATGTCCACACAAAACTTGCACGCAAATGCTCACAGCAGCATTATTGGTAATTGCCAAAAACTTAACCTAAATGTCCATCAGCTGGTAAATGAATAAATAGAAATTTGTGTGCTCAACAATAGGGATAAGTTAAAAAAAAAAAAAAAAAAAAAAAAAAAAAGGAGGCCAGGCACAGTGGCTCATGCCTGTAATCCCCACACTTTGGGAGGCCAAGGTGGGTGGCTCACCTGAGGTCAGGAGTTTGAAACCAGCCTGGCCAACATGATGAAACCCCATCTCTACTAAAAATACAAAAAATTAGCTGGGCGTAATGGTGGGCACCTGGAATCCTAGCTACTCACAAGGCTGAGGCAGGAGAATCGCTTGAACCCGGGGTCAGAGGTTGTAGTGAGTCAAGATCGCGCCACTGCACTCCAGCCTGGGCAACGAGAGCAAAACTGTCTCAAAACAAACAAACAAAAAAACCAACAACAACAACAAAAATGAATAAACAAGATGTGGTATATATGCACACAATGGATGGATTCATCAATAAAAAGGAACAATCTACTACACTATGGCATGGATGAACCCCCAAAAATATGTTAAACCAGATGTATACAAAAGAAGCCAGACGTATACGAAAGAAGCCAGACGTATACCAAAGAAGCCAGACGTATACGAAAGAAGCCAGACGTAAGAGACCACATATTGTGTGATCCTATTTATGTGAAATGTCTAGAAAAGGTAAATCTATAGAGACAGAATGTAAACTAATGGTTGCCTGGGGCTGGGAGTGGGAATTAGGATGAACTGTAAATGTGCATGAGGGCTTTTATTAGGATGATGATCATGTTCAAAAACTGATTTATGGCAATGTTTGTACCACTCAATAAATTTACCAAAAATTATTGAATAGGATAAATTATATGATACGTAAAATATATCTTAATGGAGGCATTTTTGGAAAACACACATTAAGAAACAAGCAGAGCACTTTGGAAGGCCGAGGGGGGCAGATCTCTTGAGGTCAGGAGTTCTAGACTAGCCTGGCCAACATGGCAAAACCCCATCTCTACTAAAAATACAAAAATTAGCCAGGCATGGTGGCAAATGCCTGTAATCCCAGCTACTCAGAGGATGAGGCAGGAGAATCGCTTGAACCTAGGAGGTGGAAGTTCTTCTGAGCTGAGATTTTGCCACTGCACTCCATCCAGCCTTGGCGACAGAGTAAGACTTTCTGAAAACAAAACAAAACAAAACAAAACAAAAACACCACAAAAGAGCAGACAGAAACTACAGTGAACAGAACTAGATCCAGAAATATATTAAAAAATTTTATTACTGAACATGGAATATAAACATACTGTTTCAAGAAATAATGGTGGCAATTGAAACAATGAGTGAAGAGCAAAGGCAGGCCAGGTGCAGTGGTTCATGCCTGTAATCCCAGCACTTTGGAAGGCTGAGGTGGAAAGACTGCTTGAGTTCAGGAGTTTGAGGCCAGCCTGAGCAACATGGCAAAACCCTATCTCTACAAAAATTAATTTTAAAAAATTGGCCAGGAATTGAGAGGATAAGGTAGGAGGATCACTTGACCCTGGGAGGGCAAAGCTGCAGTGACCTCTGACTGCACCAGTGTACTCTAGCCTAGACAATAGAATGAGACTCTGTCTCAATAAATAAATAAATAAATAAATAAAGAGCAAAGGCAACCAAAATTGACGAGGAAAGTTTGGGAAAGAACCAAAATAGAACTTCTAAAAATGAGTAATGTAATAGAAATTTTTTTTTTTTTGCGAGACGGAGTTTTGCTCCTGTTACCCAGGCTGGAGTGCAATGGCGCGATCTCAGCTCACCGCAACCTCCACCTCCTGGGTTCAAGCAATTCTCCTGCCTCAGCCTCCTGAGTAGCTGGTATGACAGGCACGTGCCACCATGCCCAGCTAATTTTTTGTATTTTTAGTAGAGATGGGGTTTCACCATGTTGACCAGGATGGTCTCGATCTGTCGACCTCGTGATCCACCCACCTCGGCCTCCCAAAGTGCTGGAATTACAGGCTTGAGCCAC